AAGGAAGGAAGGAAGGGCCTGAAAGATTCCTGAAAGAAAGTGATCCAATTAAGGGCTATTTCCCCCACAAAATTTCTTTCCTCACTGTATTACGAGAAAATAGAAATGTTTCGCTCTAGTTTGAATGATGGTGTCCTCTCAAAATTCATGTTGGAATTTAATCCTCAACTCAACGGTACTGAGAGGTAGCCTGGAGAGGTGACTAAGGGACAGTGGGATGGGGTGGGCACCATTACAGACAGGCTCAAGGCTGAAAGGTTTGCCCCCTTGGCCCTTGGCCCTACAAGACATATGCAAATACCAATTGTACTGACATCTTGATCTCAAGATTTCCCAGTTTCTAGAACTGTGAGGAGTAAATTTCTGTTCATCAATTACTCAGTCTGTAGTGTTTTGTTATAGCAGCACAAATAAATGAAGACAGTTTTTTTAAACAGTTTCATGTACTACCAGTAAAACAGTCATGAGAAAGGAACTCTATTATGTCAGTAAAAGGAAACAGGCCACAGATACCACCAAACACTGTTTGGCCACACAGTCAAAACTTTAACCAAGAAATTTTTCCAGAGTTGGGAATGTAGCTCAGTAGTAGAACTCATGTTGGGTCCACCCTCACTTCCCCACCCCTCCCACCCCTCCCACCCTGCCACCCTGTGAAGCCTTTAATTCACTAATCACTGCTGGGAATCTATTTGAAGAAAATCAGAGAGCTCAGTATAAATATAAAAGATATTGACTGCAATATTACTAAGAAAAAAAAAAAACCTAAACCTATCACAATTGGAGGCAAAGAACAGGATTTATTTATATGACAGTCTGGCCAGCTGCTAGAAGATAACATATTGATGGTCTACTGTCAATGACAGATAAAATGTTTCTGATAGTAAGGGGGAAATAGGAGGGTTTAAAATAGTTTATCCAGTGTGTTTGAAATGCAATACATTAAAAATGTATGATACATACAAACCAGAAATACACATGCTGACAAATATAGTAATTAAGAGCACAGGCTTTGGAAACAAACCAACCCAGTTCAAATCCCAGCTATGCTGCTTCCCAGCTGTGTAACCTTGGGTGGGAAAGTTAGTTTATCTCCCAGAATGCTGGGAAACAGGGACAACACCTACCTTACAGAGTGGAATGGACAATAAACGAGAGCATCCAAGCATGTGGCTGAGCAGTATGCCTGGCACTGCAGAGCCCTGGATAACCACTAGCCAACATCACCATCACTATGAACACTGAGGATAGGTGGGAGGATGTGTATCAAAAAGCTAATGAAGACCATCTTTGGGAAGTAGAGTTCCAGGTCAATTTTTCTCCTTTCTCCTGGTCATCTTTTTCTAAATTTCCCAGAGTATGCATTATATAACCAGAAAGAAAGTGCACAAGAGGAAATGTCTGGTTAGTAACTAGAATCTGCCATTTGTGAGGCTGGGAGAACAGTGCTAGTCAGAGACCAAGTGATGTCTTTCATCCTGTCTTTTTTTTTGTTGTTGTTTTCTGATGTTTGTTTTATTTTGTTTGTTTGTTTTAATGGAGAACTCACTACATGGCCAAGGATGACCTTGAACTTCTATCCTCCCACCTCAATCTCCCAACTGCTGGGATTACAGGTTTGCACAACCACGCTTGGCTCTTTTGCCCTTTTTCCACAGTGCCTCAGCTCCCAGGGCGATGCTCCTCCCTGGAATCCTGGCTACTCACAGGCGCAGTTCCTTGGAAGCCATCCTCCCCAGTGTTGCTCACAGGAAACTCTCCCTGCCAAATGTTGGCATAATGCTGGCCTTTGGGCTGCAGTTTGTTTCCCCAAGGGAAAAGCCTGTCAGGAGAGACACAGGCATCAGCCCAAGGCACAGGCTTCTGAGCTGTAGTCAAGAGAAAGGACACAATGAAAGAGAACAGACAGTGCACAATGGTCTGAGTAAGCTCTTTCTTAAAATGTATAATCTTATATACAGTTTTGATGGGGATTTTAAATTTTTTCCCTTATGACAACTCAGGTCAAGTGTACAACTTCAGTCTCTGCCCAGGCCCAAGAAGGAAGAGTATAAAGAAAGCTGGGAAAGCAGACACCATCCTGGACTAATATGGTAGCCTGATGGGTACCATCACACCACAAACTTTTAAAAAGCCTTATCTATTTTAAGGAGCTTTTCCTAGAAGATGTGACCCCAAACATGAGTTTTCTGTCTCAAGGCCATAGAAGCAGAGAAATACCACTGCTTCAGAAGATGCCTAAAATAAGAAAATGCTAGAAGCAGAGCAACCTGCCAAGTGGCTCTGTGGACTAACGCATTACACAAGAGGAGGCCGAGAAGCTGGAACTCGCTCCAGACCTGCCGAGAGCCCATTCGGCCTCATACTTGGCTTTAGGGACTGTAAAGAGTTGGTGACTAACTCGGCAGTGTTACAGAAGTACCTCACAAGGAAGAGGAGAACCAGTAAGAACAAGAGTTATTAATCAACTTTCTATCCACAGTGAGTTCCCCAGAGGTAAAAAAGCGGGGACCGGGGGAGGCAAGGGAAGGATTTTGCTGGACAAGACAAGACCCTCTGACCTGAGTACCTGTTCTGCAGGCCTCCTCGACAGCTATACTCCCACTCAGCCTCTGTGGGCAACCTCTTCCCTGCCCACATGCAGTAGGCAACAGCATCATTCCAAGAGACATGGAGAACAGGATGATCCAGCCTAGGGAAGAGCAAGTACTGTTAAAAGAGGCACCCACCAGAACAGGAAACAGGAACTATGTTCAGAAAGTGACCACAGTCACTCTCAGTCTGGTCGGTGACATCAAAGCCTAGCTGTGACACACCTGCCCCTTCCAATGAGAGTTTCTGAAGTCTCAGGCTCCCAGAAATGATTCCTCTTGGAACCATACTTCTTCATCTTGCAGCCCTGGTTTCCCACAGATTTCATGGGGATGGTACAAAGAGAGCAGCCCTGCCCAAACCTGCTTCAGCCACTGAGGGTCCCATCCACAGTCTTCTAGCTCCCTCAGCATTTTACACAACTCTTAGGGCCACCCCAGAGTCACCAATGACCAATCACAGCAAGGGCATAAAGCACAGTTCAGCTGAGTCCACACATATCTCAGAGCTCCATGCAGAGTTGGTTAGAACTTTGTTGAACCTATGTTTAAGTTTGGCTTCTTCCTCTGCCTCGTCCTGATTCCACTCCATCCCTTACACGAGAGTGGGTCTCTAATATTCTATATTCCAGACTTTCATTTCACGCTGTTTCTAGACACCTAGCTTTAAACTTCCCATCTTTCTAGTTTCCTAAGGATCAGTCAGCTGTATTTGCCTCACTCTAGCAGATCCCACCTCAGCCTTCTTTCTTCCTGAAGGATAGAGACAGGGGCCTGGAACTCACTGCTCACTATTTGGGCATGGACTACATACTCCGACTCCATTCCTCATGCATCTCTCTGAATTTCCACCAGGACATTCATTAATCCTTTCAAAAAAATGTTTAATGTTTTTAGGAAAAATACATTCTAGGAGGATGGAGAGATGGATCAATAGTTAAGAGCACTGGGGACCTGGTTCAGTTCCCAGCATCCACATGGTGGCTCATAACCACATGTGTAACTCCAGTTCCAGGGGATCCAAAGCCCTCTTCTGGCTTCTTCAAGCATTGCATGACATGAGTACACTTACATGCAGATAAAACATTCGTACACATAATTTTTTTTTTTTTAATTCCAGACTGGGGGTTGGAGAGGTGGTTCTGCTATTAAGAGCACTGGCTATTCTTGCAAAAGACCCAGTTTCAAATCCCAGCACCCACATGATGGATAACAACCATGCCTAACTCCAGTTCCAGGGGCTCCAACACCATCTTCTGTCCCTGGGCATTGCATGACACAGGTGCACTTACACACAAACAGGCATAAAAGTAATACACATAAAAAATAATAATACATTAATTAAAAAGTTAAAAATACATAAATTAATAAAAAATAAAATTCTAGACCAAAGGTATAGTGCAATGGCAGAGCACAAGGCCCTGGGACCAAGTCTCAATACCACTCAACAAAAGAGCATTCTCCTTTGGGTTCTCCTTCTTCTAATAGCTTTTCATCAACTATTGAGCTTAGGAAAGAGGGTATGAATTAGGAGCTGCGTAGCCCAGTTCTCCCAGTTCTCAGATACCCAAGGATCCTACAACTTTCCACCTTACATTCTATTTCTAGCATAGAGGCTGCCAGCTTAGGCCTTGAAAGGTTTGACATTTGTCAAGGGGCTACATTCCTAAAGCTGAACTCCATGTACTCTCAGCTCCCTGACTATAAGGGCAATAACCTGAAATGTGGTTAAAAATAGAGGCTTAAAATGCCATTTGAGGAACGAGGTTAGGAGAGCAGGGTTCTTGGGCTGCTGAGAGGCTGGGCTGTAATCCAAACCTTCCTTCATCTCCAGGGTTTAACATGCATCTCTATTTTTGCTTAAGATAATTACTTCCTTGTCACCCCAGAGACTTGGTGACCGACTTGCCACTCTGGTTTTTAGTCAGATTGTGGCTTCAAAGTATGTCAGTCTAAGACCAAAGAACACATGGATCCTATACCCAAGGGCAACCTGGCAGGACACAACCACTTATCCACAGGGCAGTCTTCTTCCGCACAAACACCCACTCATGGACAGACTGTAATGATTAAACATGTCATGAAATTTGTGGTGACTGATCCAAAGCAGAGAAATCTGCAAGAAGAAACTGTGACATGTCAAATGAAGAAGGGAAGAGGCCACATATTAAAAGCCTTCTGTGACTAGACAGAGCAGCTAGGTCTGTACATGCATTATTTCCCACCATCCCACTTTCCTGCCATTCATTTAACATATGAGACAGACACTAAGTTCTTCTATAAGAGCACAGGAATCATATATGAGAAAGAGGGCTGAGCCAGTCAGGGCAAGCAAGCTAGGAAGAGCACAGGAATCTAAGCAGGAACAAAACAAGTCAGCTATGCGTGATGGGACTCACCTGTGCAGAATGGTGGACTCAGGCCCCTCTGGGTGTCTCCAGTCAGCACCTTTAACGGGTAACCACCAGGGAGCAGCAGCAACCTCAAAGCAACAGAGAACAGGCGCCTGTCAGCTACAGTGACTCTAGAAAAACACTGGGCTTGTACACACAGCCAAAAAACAAAAACAAAAAAACAATCACTTAGGGTCTTCAGTTGTATTAGATTCAAAAGCATTACATATTATCAGAATCACAGATTCAAATGTATATAGTTACTCACTCTATAAAGCAAAAACAACAAAACAAAAGTATGTGGAAGTGTTACACAGCTCCAGCAATATCTGGAAGCCATAGTGCTAGCTAATCCTCTATGATCTGTGATACTTAAGAGAGGACATATTACTTCTTTTGTTTAAAAGACAGGGAAACAACTACTCTTGCAGTTAACTATAGGGTTGCTGGTCATCCAAAATGCTCAAAGATCAAGCTGAAGCACAGAGAAAACATGAAGTATTTTTAAAGACCCTGGTCCAATTTGCAGCCCAGCATGAGCTATGTGCTACAGGGTGAGTTCATGATTCACCTGTCCCCAGACAGCTCTTGTCTGTGAAATAGGATCAAGTTCCAGTCTCAACTGATTTAGAAACCAGTGGGTCAAATCAGGTAAGACTGTGAAGAGCTCAGGAAATTGTTACTAGAACCTTAATTCCTTCTTTAGGGTTCTACCAATTATGTTCACCAAAGTAAGAAGAACAAGGGGTCCCTACTTGGTGACTCGCTAGGCAAAGTGCCTTTGGAGGCAGTGCTATTCACAATGCGACTGACTCCTGGCATTGTATTTAACCTCTCTAGGCCTATTTTCTCATTTGCATATAAAGAGAGTAACAGCCCCTACATCCTGAGTTATTACAGGGAGGAACTAGAGCATAAAGGGCTTAGTGCTATGCCCTTAGTAACTCAGAGTAATGACTGAGCAAGCAGCAGGAAAAGGGACTATGTTTCCCTTTGCAACCACTCACAAAGAGAACTGCATACACATAAAAAAATAATCATTATTGGGTAGACCAGGACAAAGCAGCGTCTTCTGGATATTACTTATGAACTCACAGCAGCTGTGGTTACCTGCACAAGACCTGTACAAGATCAAGTCAGTCCACATTCCAGCAGAGAGGGAAGAGCACACAAGTCCCCACCCCTAACTGAGTAGCAACTGACAGCTATGGCTGCTAAGAGAAGGAGAATCAGTTTCCTTACGAGTGGCCTGGGGCAGGTCAACCATGCCCTCCAGTAGATGGCCTCACACCCATACCTACATGGGCAGCACAAAAAGACAGGAAGTTGGGAGCGAGGGGTGGACCCAAGAGGAGTTACAGGGAGGAGTAGTGGGGGTGAAGCTGGTAAAAATATGTTGTATAAATGTACAAAATTCTCAAAAAATTAATAAAAAATATTACATTAAAATTTAAAAATTATTATTGCTAATACTAACTGAAGAACAGAAACTTAAAAGTGATTCTTCTGGGGCTGGAGAGACAGCTCAGTGGTTAAGAACACTAGCTGTTCTTGCAGAGGACCGGGGTTCGAATCCCAGCACCCACATGGCAGTTAACAACTGTCCATAACTCCAGTTCCAGGGGATCCAACAGCCTCTTCTGACCTCTACAGCATTGCACAACACAGGTGCACTTACCTACATGCAGGCAATATACACATACACATAAAATAAAAATAATAAATATTTTTTAAAGTGATTCTTCTAAAACAAACTATTAGAGGATGTTAGCCCCACGACAATCTCTCAAAAGACTGCATCTCAGCATCCATTTGGTGGGGTGGAAGTGACAGGTGCTGTGTCCCAGCTAACAGGGACAGTGGTCACTATGAACACCAAGCATGCACTCATTCATTCCCTTTTCAAATCAATACAATCAAATATTCAGGGTATCTCCATCACAATCTGATGGGAAAAGACACTTCATTTAAAACACTCCAACAGAAAAGGCCTCTCATCCTTCAACATGACTGAAAGGTGTTTGATTTCAGGGAGCAGGAGAGCTGAAAGACAGGGCTTCTTTCTGTTCCATCTGTAGCACTACAGAACCTAACCTAGGGATGCTCTCACCAACTGGACTGTGAGGTGCTTGGCTGCCAGTGACAGGTAATTCACTTGGTATCAAAGGAAGATGCTCACAGAATGCCAGGTCATCTCACTGCTGGACTTCAGTGAAATCATCCCATCACTGTTGCTGTGATAGAAACACTGACCAAAGCAGTTTATAGAAGGAAGAGTTTATTTGAGCTTATGGTTCCAAAGGGGCAAAAGTCTATCACGGCAGGGAGGATTGGTGGCAGAGGTGGCTAGAGGAGGAAAAGAAGCTAGGCGCTACATCTTCAAGCAGGCACAGGAAGCAAGAGAGTGACTAGAGATCCAACAAGGCTTAAGAACTCTCTAAGCCTGCCCCCCAGTGACATGCTTCCTCCAGGAGGACCACACCTTCTAAGACTTCCCAAAACAGCACCACCAACTGGGGACAAAATGTCCAGATACTTGGAGCCTATGGGGGATATTTTCATTCAAACCACCACACTCATCCATTCCAAGCCCACAACCAGTACTCAGCATCAGAAATGGAAAGTTCTAGTTCTTAAATTAAAAATAAAAAAGCTAAAGTATATAAAAATATTTAAAAATTAAAAACATGGTTAACATACTAACCTCTACTAGATCTGGGTGTTAGATACTAGAATACCTTTTTTGTCATGTCATTTGTGTTTTGAAATATTTCACCATTAGCAGTAAGAAAGAATATACAATTTGTTTATCTGTTCTACTTCTGATGGGCATTCAGGCATGTCCAGTTGAATATTCTTCAAAGAGCTTGTTGTTTCTGGAAATGTGCATTTCTGCTCATTGTATACTATGGAGAGGGCTGAGGGTTACACTTAGAAGAAACCTAGAGGCAGAAGTGCCCCTCATTTCCTATAGCTTCTTCCAAAGAGAACATCCATGGAGTTGGTTTCTACATAGAAGACCAAGGGTAGCTTCAGCAGTGACCTACCAGTGTCTTCATTTTTTCCTAGACTTTTCCTTGAATTCCACTTGTTACAGATAATTATGGAGTTACCCACTATGTGCTAGGCACTGTGCCTAATTCCTGGAGAGGATCTAAATGCTCCAGTGAGGAGGACAGAAAAACAGGAAAACTAAGATGTTTTGAATGATAATGTCCCCATAGGCTCCAAGTATTTGGACATTTTGTTCCTAGTTGGTGGCACTGTTTTGGGAGGTCTTAGAAGGTGTGGCCATGCTAGAGGAAGCATGTCACTGGGGGCGGGCTTTGAGAGTTCTTAAGCTGTACCGGATCTCCAGTCACTCTCTTCCTTCCTATGCCTGCTTGAAGATGTGAGCACGCTGCCTTCTATCTCTACTCCAGCCACCTCCAGTCACTATGCCTCCCCACCATGATGAACTGTAATTCCCCTGGAACTGTAAGCTCAAATAAACTCTTCCTACTATAAGTTGTTTTGGTCAGTGTTTCTATCACAGCAACAGAAAAATAACTAATGCAGTAACTGGTACCACAGGCTGTTGGTTGTGAAGAACCTGACCATGTGGGGTTTGGAGGAATGTGGAAGACTCTGGAAATTTGGACTAGAAAAGCTATTGTATGCTATAAGCAAAGCTTAATATACTGTTCTAGTTGGAGCCTGGAAGAAAGTATTGCTGAGAGAAAAATAGTTCCAGAGGGAAATAAGGACTTAAACAGCAACTGGGATATTTTAGCAAAGAGTCTGACTAGAGTCTGCCCACTGCCTAAGAGCTGACCTGAGGCTAAGCGGAAAAGCAATGGACTACTTTCTCTTACAGAAGAAATTTCATGACAGCATAATGTAGAAATGGTGGTGTGGCTATTAATGGTGAATATTATGCAGTTCTACAGTGAAAAAGAGCAAATGGGGCAGAAAGAAATACAGAATGTACAGTTTGGATTGAAAAGGGGCACTAGGAAGATAAATGTTGGAGCTGAGGCATGTGCTGGAGAGGATCCCTTTGATGAGATTAAAGTGATTAAGGAGAGGCCTAGAGATTTTCATTTAAAAAATGGATAAAGTGCCTCCAAGGCAAGACCGCACCCAGCTAAGCCTCCAACTTGTGAAAGGAAAATGCTGCAGGGGCCACTGAAGAGAAAAGCTTCTAAAATAGATAAAGCAGGCTGAAGTCCATCCCAAAATTGAAGCCAAACTTGGCAGTGTTGGTCACTTGGTGCTGGCTTTAGAGGCATGAAAAATGCAAGAGTGAAGGGGTCATTGGTTCTTCCTCCCAGGTTTCAGAGAGCCACTGAGGCCAGGCACTGTACAGCAGGCGTTCCTCTGCATATAGAAGGCTCTGATAGGCCATTATGTGAAGTTGTCATGGTAAAACCTGGTTGGCAATAGAGACCCCAAGAAGACGTTCATGATGCCAGAGCTGTGAGGCATCTGCCAAGAAGACCTGCATACAGGGAATGATACCAGCCCAATAGAGAAATGTATGTTTCACACAGCAAAGCTCAAGAGGCTGAACCATCTAAACCCTTTGGAAGTAAAGTCCCAGAAGTTAGTGGAGCTACTGAATTTGGCTTTTGCCCTGGTTTTCGGTCTTGTTTTGGTCTGGTATTTCCTCACTATGCCTCTAGTCCTCCCTTCTGGAATGGAAATGTGTATTCTGTTCCACTGTATGTTGGGAGTATGTAATTTGTCTTTTGATTTTACAGGGGCTTACAGTTAAGATATTTCCCTGAGTCTCAGAAGAGACTTTGGACTGCAGACTTTTTGATAGTAAGAAGACTGGTAATGACTATGGGGACTTTTAAGGTTGGACTAAATGTGTTTTGCATTTTATATGGTCATGAACCTATAGGGGCAGGGAGTGGAATGTGGTGGTTTGAATGAAAATGTCCCCAGTAGGCTCCAAGTAGTTGGAAATTTTGTTCCCAGTTGGTGGCGCTGCTTTGGGAGGTCTTAGAAGGTGTGGCCATGCTGGAGGAAGCATGTCATGGGGGGGGGCTTAGAAAGTTCTTAAGCCTTGCCAGATCTCCAGTGGCTCCCTTGCTTCTTGTGC